AAAAAAAAAAAAAAAAAGAGAAAATACAATCCATAGACCAGGGCACAAGCACTGAGTTAACCATTCATGGAGCCAGCCCCATGATGAATCCTGCAAGGGCTCCTTGCCTTTGTAAGCTTGTTCCATGGCACCCAGCCTCCCACAAGGCAGGGAGGGCCAGCACTATAACAGAGGGGTGGGCGAAGTGCTTTGGAAGCTCCAAGCAGGCAGGAGACAGTGCTACTTCCTGAGGTGGGCAGGGAGGGCTTCTCAGGCAGCTGATGTCTGCATCAAGCCCCACTGATGGGTGGGATTTCTGCAGGTAGTACTGGGAGGGAAGGCCCTCTAGGTGGAGAAAAACTCGTGGACAAAGCCAAGAGGTGGAATGTGTGTGGGGTGTGAGGGTGAGACATAAAGTTCCTGCCAGCCAGAAGATATGGCTGGAAGGCAGGTCTGAGCCAGACCCTCAGGAATAATGCTCTCAACAGTTCTTCACACACAGATCAGGGTCTGCCCATCTCACAAAGAATGTAGACAGGCATTAAACCTGCCATGCTGCCAGAGTCCACAGACTCCTGTTCCTGGGGACCATCAGACCATGATGCCTTCCTTGTGGTATCTCCTGCCTTGACTTCACATGATGGGGAAAAGCCAGGGGAAGCTTTCTGCCTCAGGGTCAAGCCATCTTTGCCCTTTTACTGGCACTTCCTGAGTTGATTCTTGCCTCTTATTGTCCAAAAAGACTAGCAGCTGAGCTCTCCGTACCAGGGACAGTGCCTAGAGATGTCTGTCATTGTTTGGCTGCGGGCTATACTGCTACCTTCTCCTTCCCTCTATGCCCCTGTAGTTTCTTTACAAAGAGAAACACAATGGCAGACTCTCAGATGCAGATGGGAGACCTGCCAGGAAAACCATTTCCTTTGGAGGCCAAGGAGCCCACTCTGATGATTGTTGTTCCTTCAGGCTCCTCCTAAGGACTATGGGGATTCCTTTCTTAGGGTCAATAAAGTTGGGAAGCAGTAGCATTCAGTGGTTAAGAATGGATAAAATTGAGCAATCAAATGGCACTCACTAGCCTTAACCTTGCACCAGGGCAAGGTTGAGTTCTCTGGTCCTCAGTGTTCTGATTGGTTAGAGGAGAATGGATGCAGCCTCCTTTGCTATTATTCCTACCAGGGGTTGGGAATAAAATAAGGTGAGGCCAAGGTTCTGATTCCTTCAGCCTGGGGATTCTCCGATGCTCTCCTTTATGCAGAGTGGCCGCTATGCTCTGGAGACCAGATGGCCTGGAGAGGGAATGTTGTCTTGACCCAGGTTCTAGCTCATGGCTTACCTCTTCTCTATCCTGGGAAGAAAGTTCCCTTGATCAGAGGCCCTCATTCCAGTAAAGTGAGATTCCGTATTCATCCAGAAAACACTTGTTCCCTTTGCTTTCTCTCCAGCTGCAGTTAACCTGAGCCCCGGAGACCCCCGGTGGATTGGAGCCTGGTGGCTCGGGCTGCTCATCTCTTCAGCCTCCTTGGTTCTCACCTCTTTCCCCTTTTTTTTCTTTCCTCGAACAATGATCAGGGAAGTGGAGGTAAGGTTCTGAGAACCCCTGACTCTACCTATAGAACTTCAAGAAAGGGAGGTGGGGATCAAATTAAACCGAACTGAGAAGCTGCAGCAAGTTAAGCAAATTCTGCATGAAATCCAAATGAGTTGCATGATACAGGACTTCTCAAAGGCTTTAGGTGAGAGTGCTGGTGAATTCCCTAAAGATGGGTTCTCACCAGTGTTCCCTTACCACTTCAACACCTCAGGTGTCAGGACAGCTTCAGGGAATGTAGTTTGGGAAACTACATGAGTAGTTGAACAAATGAGTTCATCTAAACTGGGATAAAGAGTTAAGAGCTAGTAAAAACAGAATATATGACCTGGCACCATCTGAACCTGCAGGACTGAGTGGGAAGGGGGTCCCTAGAGCTAAAGAGCCTAAGGGTGGCCTGAGAGTGAGCTTACTCTGAGCACTTGGACCTTCCATGTGTCTGCCAGCCCTGTCTGCTGGGAACGAAGTCAGGAAAGGATGAAAATGGAAAACAGAGAAGTCTGGTGGGGCTCTGATGTTAGGCTGAGGGTCTAAAACTTAAAGTTCTGGGGCACTGCAGTAACTGGGTGGCCAGCTGGGTTGAAGGTCAGGGAGTCAGGGAGGAGTGAAGGCTGACCATCTGAAAAAGCCGGTGTAGAGACAGGGGATGAGACCGAGCACCGGGGCAGTGGTTGCTGGACAGCTGAGGCAAGGGCAGGCAGAGATATTCTTGGAGGGGGTGCCAAGGACTCAGCAGTGAGCCAGACTAGAGGAGAAGAGGGACCGAAGTTAGCATCAAGGTTCTGAGCCAAAGCTCCACATTGGGCAGTGAGATGTAGGCCCCTGTGTGGGAGGAGGAACAGGGGTAGGAGAGCTTTCACTTGTCTTGGGGAAGAGTTTTGGAGGTTGGCAGTACATCGTGGTGGTTTTGGAGTCAGGCAAACCTGAGTCTGAGTCCAGGTGTGTCACTTAAAACCTTGCCAAGTGATCTTGGACAAGCTTCCTCGTGTCTAAGTTTCCTTTACAATACTGGAGATAGAGCACCTGTCTCAGAGGAGGCCATGAGGAGTGACAGTGCATGTGGCATGCTGGGCACAGTGTCCAATGTGGACTAAGCACTCAGTGCATGGGAGCTCCCACGCCTGGTAGTGTGTTCCCCTGGGGGGGCCGTGCACACCTGTGTAGGGGTGCAGAGCTGCAGCTGATGAGTTCATAAGTGGTAGGCGAGCTCGCTGAAGTGGTATGAACAGAAAGCGTGGGCCAGGGGCCGGGACCAAGCCTTGGTTGAGCAGGACTCAACTCTGGGCCCGGAAGGAAGCAGTGACTCCATAGAGGAGATAGAAAGAAAGAGCTGGAAACAGAGGTCATTCTAGACCAGTGTATCCCAGAAGCCTGCAGCCCCTGGAATCTGAGGACAGGGAAGAAGTGCAGCCACGACAGAGAGACAGGGAGTGAGATCTGATCAGATACCTTTTGGCATCAGTCACGGGAAAGTTAGAGGTGATAACATGCTCAGAGGTATTTCAGGAGGCATTGGCATAGATGTGTTCTGGCTGGCAGCCACAACTCTGGGTTCACTAACATGCAGGTGGTGTTCATTTCAAGAGAGCATTCTCTGGGTGCCCTCCCACACCCACACCCACACCCACACCCACACACACCTGGGGTGGGCAGCTCACTGCTGCCCATCCCTGAGCCACCAAGACCAGGAGGGTCAAGGGCCCAGGGAAGGGTCACAACAAGGAGCCTCGGACATTAACATTCATCTCCTTCGCTGCCTTCAGAGGTCTCCTGCCATAGTGGACGAGGCAAGGAAGATGGACGAGGTCAAGCCAAGAAGCTCCCTGCTGGATTTCATTAAACGTAACTGACTGACCTGGCAAAGCCCTGGAGGTGGGGGGGGGGTCTGTCTTGAGGGAGGTTCAGGGGGTACCCCAGCCCATGTGGTATTGTGTGTGGTGAAGGTCAGTAAGAACAGGTGGTCTGTAACTGGCCCATCTCCCAGGAGGGGTTCTGCCAGGGGTCCTGGTGACTGCTTCTTTGCAGGTCTCAGGAGACTCAGATTTAGCAGTCAGCCCTGCCTCCATGGTCTGGCCCCGTGTTCTGTCCCCTCCTTTCACATGGAGGTGGCTGTCATGTGAGGAGAATGTTCCCGGTGTTAGTCCTATTTCTATCCAGCCTCCGCCTGATATCTTGTAGGCATGTCCTCATTTTACTTAGCCTGTGAGTATGTTGAGTGGGAGTTGAGCAGCTCTGTGCCCCCAGACTGGCCACTGAAAACTTTGGTGCCTCAGATCTGCCATGAGAAAGAGAGGAAAGCTGCCTGGAGGAGGAGGAAGGGCAGTGACCTAGTATCAAGGTACCCCTGGGATGACTACCACGAAGGCCTGGCCCCTGACAGCCATCTGATTACAGGGTTTCCCCGCATCTTCCTGAGGTTGCTGATGAACCCGCTCTTCATGCTGGTGGTCCTGGCCCAGTGCACCTTCTCCTCTGTCATTGCCGGCCTCTCCACATTCCTCAACAAATTCCTGGAGAAGCAGTATGGTGCCTCCGCAGCCTATGCCAACTTCCTCATCGGTGAGTCCAGAGGGTGAGGGCGCTGTAGGAGCTAGGGGGCCTGCCTGAAGGAGAGGCTGGGCCCTCTGCCGCCCATACAGGAAGGGTGAGGCCAGACCGGACACAGATAAGAGCCAGAAGAGGACTGTGGCCCTGGGGAAAGAATTTTAAGGACACTTTTCCTGGTTAGCCATCTAGAAGGTCTTTGGCAGATCTCTGGGGCCCCTATAATTCCAGGCAGGGAGAGGGAGAGGCTGGGGTCTGCCTTCCTTTCCATCAGAGGAGCTGGAAGCCTAAGGGCTTCCCAAAGGTCCTGACATCATCCGGGGGAAACAGAGGAAAGAGAAAGGTGTAATTTGGGACTAGGCAAAATGCCTCCTGGTTTTTTCCCTTCTTCACCAAGGACCTGAATACGTTCGCCTGGGTAAGGAGTATGTGGCCCAGTGACTCTCCACCCTGGCTGCACTTTAGGACCCCCTGGACAGCTTTAAAAAGTACAGATACCCAGGCCCCACCCTCGGTCAATGAAAGCAGAATCTCTGGGTGGGGCCCAGCATTGGTATTTTTTGCCAATTGAGATTGAGAATCACTGATGTGGTCCCAACCAAGTACTGAAGTGAATTATTGAGCCCAGTCCACAGGTGAGCTTGACCATAGGGATGTGGCAAGGTGGCCAGGGCCTCACCCCTCTAGCTTTCAGGCACCAACCAGCACATCAGGCAGGGAGCACCACTGTGTGACTCATGTGGTGACAGTGAGGGTGCAATGAGGGGCCAGGTAATGAAAAGCACTTACTAAATGCACATTCAACCCACATCCCTGTGACTGCAAGGGCCCCATTTATTTCTCTCTTCTTTGCACAAGCAGGACAATCTGCTACATCAAGAGAACTCTGTAGATGTGTCTGGCAAACAGTAAGCGCTGAATTAATGTCAGCTCTTACCACAGCATTTGAATGTATCAAATGTCCCTTCAGGTAGTCGTGTCTCCTTGTCCATGGTTCAGCTCAGTGTCTTCGGCTCCTCACAAGACTCCCAGTCCTGTACACCCAGACCAGCTTCTCTTTACCTGCAGGTGCTGTGAATCTCCCTGCCGCGGCCTTGGGGATGCTGTTTGGAGGAATCCTCATGAAACGTTTCGTTTTCTCTCTGCAAACCATTCCCCGCGTGGCTGCCACCATCATCACCATCTCCATGATCCTCTGTGCCCCTCTCTTCTTCATGGGATGCTCTACCCCCACTATAGCGGAGGTCTACCCCCCCAGGTAATGGGAACGAGAGGTGAGAAGATCCCCTTCACTGAGGCCAGAGCCTGGATCTGGCTGTCGTGCATCTTCCTTTCTGCTTCCTCAACTCCTCTCTTCTCTCCTTTCCGCTTTTGATCTAATCTCCTGTGTGGCAACTTAGAAAACGAGGCCTTGAATAATATGCTCACTTATGAAAAGAAATCAGAGAGTCCTATTGGGTCACCAGCAATCAGGGTCAGAGTTCTGTCTTTTGTTTTGTTTTGTTTTTAAGAAGTACCAAAAACTGGTTAATTTGGTTACAGGATGAATCTGTAGGGCTGTGAGCCTCAAGAACCAGGAAATAAGCTATGTTTAGCATCAGCTCTGTGCCAGCTACAATTACAAAGTCTCCTTGAGCTGCTGAAGAAAGATGAGAGAAGGGGACTTGAAAAGATCTGGGAAAGAACAATGAAAGTGATGGCAGACTCAAACAAAATTAGGGCAGGTGAGGAAGAGGGCAGGTAAAGTACACCTGTCGGTTTGCATAAAGCAACCTGGTCCTAAGTTTTGAATCTGGTGTCATGTTCAGGAAGAGCTTTAGGGGCCTGTGAGGGAAGGGTGCTGAACAAAGAGCATTTGTTTTTACCTGAGTGCCCCTTCCAACGACTTCTTTTACATTTTGCCTAACAAGGTTGCAACGTTTGGACATACTGTACCTTTCTGTCTTGGTGTTTTCTCTTTTTCTCTGAAATTACCTCTTCTGTCTTTGGTGGGTGAAGGAGGGACGGGAGGGCTGCTCAGGGCGGGGACCACCCCCCCCCACCACCACCAGGGTGCGTTGTTCTGCAGGCTGACTGGATTGAGAGAGGCCGAGAGAGCTTGGAGCCCCTGGGCTGCTCTGAGTGGGGGTTTTTAGCACAGGGCTCTGTCATCAGACTGGGGAGAGTCTGGCACAGCCCTTTGTAGCTGGGGAAAGTTACTTGTCTCATCTGCAGTTTTCTCATCACAGAAGCAATGGAATTAATTGAAGAGTTGTCATGATGGCTGGGTGAAAAGCCGTGAGCATGGTTCCTGGCACATAAGAGGCACCCCATTACTGTTAACTATCAGTGGTGTCATTGTTTTAGCAGCCCCCTGGCTTGGGGTTTGTCAGCCTATGCCTACCCTTCCCAGAGACAATCATGAACATCAGATGTGGCGGGTGGGGGGCGGGGTGAGAATGGTGAGGTCAGCTGGTGAAACCCCCTTGGGTGCAGCACAGGGGGTGGAGCGACCTAGGCAATGTCTCCATAGACCCAGAGACTGGAGCCCTCTCGACCCCAGATTGCCTCAAGGAGCCCCAGCCTTCCCTCGGCCTGAGCACAGATGAAGGAGAAGGGAAGGGAAATATTACCTGTGACTTTGCATAGCATCTGCTGTCTCTTTCATAGGAGTCCTGGCTGGTTGGGTATCTTGACGTCTTTCTTCAGTGTGGGTTTTGCTGACCATGCCTTGCCGAGCTGCACCTGGTGATGCCATGAGCCCTGATCAGGCAGTCAATTCACCATCGGCTCCGATAAGCATCATTCAGGTCCCAGAGTGGCGCTGGCCCAAGACAGAGACACACAGGCACACTAAACAGGCGGGAAACTCACACTGGGCTGGCGTGAGGAGACTTTTCTTTGGTCTTGCTTTGTTTGATTCCCCATTTCCTGTTTTGCTGGCAGGACATCAAGTCCTATACATCCGCAGCCTCCTGCCTGCCGCAAGGACTGCTCGTGCCCAGATTCCATCTTCCACCCGGTCTGCGGAGACAATGGAGTGGAGTACCTCTCCCCGTGCCACGCCGGCTGCAGTGAGATTAACGTCAGCTCGGTAGTCTCCAAGCAGCTGGTAAGGGTGGGAGAAGCCCCGTGGGGTCTCTGTGCTCAGCATGTGCCCTCGCAGACCACTCCTAGGCTCCAGGATGGGCAGACTGCCACCCACCCCACACTCATTCCCAGCTTCTGGCCTCTGGGCCACACCCGCCCTCTCTCCACCTCCCCTTCCCTAAGGTCATGACCAGATGCCTACAGCCCAAAGTCAATTAAAGATTGGCCGATGTTCAACAGATTCACATTCCTGAGGCCTAACAATGCTCAGAGCAGAAACGAGCCAAAGAACTGCTTCAGCTGAGGCCTTTGAGCCTCATCCCGAAGGATCCTAATGGGCATCCTGGATCCTGCATACTGGCTGTGTGGAAAGCCACAGAGGCAGGCCTAGATAAACTGAGGGCAAAGGATCTTCTGTGATGTGGCCCCAGAAGGTTAGAGCTGGAAGTGTGACCTAGGGCATTCAGTGGAACCTGTCAGCCCCTACATGTGGCCACACAACTGACCTGAAGTCCTGAGCTATTTAGGGACAGATCTGGGACTAGAACCCAGGACCCAGCCTCAGTCTGGGACACATCTGTTCAAGGTCACATATCTCCTCACCAGCAGCCTTCCAGTGGTGCAACCCACATTCACTATGCCCACCTGGCAAGGCTCTAATAGCCCTCTGAGTGCTATGCCTCCTGGATTCTAGGGTCAGTCAGCAGCAAACCAAGTCAAGACATTTGTTCAGTTATTCAACAAATATTTAGTGAACATCCAGCATGGCCACAGAAGTTGAGGATTCAGCAGTGAACCCATCAGACAAGGTGCCTGCTCTCACTGAGTTTGCATTCTATCAAATAAACGCACAAGATAGTTTTAGAATGTAATCCATGCCCCCAAGAGACTTAATGGACAGAGAGTGTCTGGGGGCCTCCCTGAAGAGGTGACATTAGAACTGAACAACCAGAAGAGGAAGACCCTAGAAAGTCCTGGAAGTGAGGCATTCCAGGTAAAGAAACAGCAAGAGCAACGCCCTAGGGCATGACCTAGCTGGGTGCAGGAGAAAGCAGAGAAGGCCAGGGTTGGTGCTGAGAGGCATGTCACACATAGGCCAAGGCTGGCCAGGCCAGGCCGAGGATTTGGATCTACCTTTTCCTAAAAGCAATGGAAAGTCTGTTCAGTTCTGCTAAAGATGCCCTAAGGAAAAGCATACGCCTCGTTCCTTTAAGCCTGTGTGGAAGGCATGGACAAGGCTAGCCCCACTTAGCATCATCCTCTGAGAGCACAGGGCAAGGCTGCTCCCACAGCCACCTCTGTGGGCAGGTGGAGGACAAGGAGTGCAGACATGATGCTCTCTCCATTGCCTTCTAGTCAAATGAGTCTGTGGTGGCTTCTGTGGTTTCCTTATCTTTATTTACTTACCTCTGACTCATCTGCTTCCAGAAATCATCTTGACAGGTTTCCAATAATTACACAGAGCCATTAGCATAATATCAAGAACAGACGGTAAATTACAAAGGGAATAGATCTATGTTAAAAAAAAAAAATCCAGACTGAGGGAACTAATAGCCATACTGCACATAACTTCTTTCTGAGCTTCCTGGCAGCCAAAACAAAGAAGGTGTGTAGTTCCTGCTGTCTGCCAGAAGGGGGCATACTAGCTCCTTAGTTCTGGTCCTAGCCTTGTAACTGCTATGACACTTAAATGGTCATAGGCTAGTCCATCAGATGCTGTGAAAGGTAAGGTGAAGACCACCTGTCACGGGCAGTGGCCACCAAGGCCAGTCTTACAAGAGCGCTGAACCATCTGGACTTGCAGATTTGAGACAGGGACCTCCTTCGCTAGAGGCCTTCACAGACGGGAGGAGTTCCGCTCAGGCAGAGGCCTAACAGATGAAGAGCTCAGTGGATTCAGCTAGGTTCCCACTGCTGTCTCCTATTTATACCTTTCTTACCTTCCGTGCAATAAGCACACAAACTGCAAGAACACCACCCACAAAACCACTGCTGCTGGGCACAGGCCGGCCTGGCCCTGAAGAGAGTCCTCCCAGCCCCTGGTCCCAAGCTGGGTAGGCCTTGCCTGGCAGTGGGATCCTGCATGTCCTGATGTGAGTGGAACCGCTGGAGGGGCCCAGCCCATGCTAGACGACCGGTTTTGGTGAAGATGGTTTTGATTGCCCAAACAGAGGTCAGAGGTGGTATCCATGGGGCACCTTGAACCCCTCACCGGGTCTGCTCTCCAGCCTCCACATGCAGCATCGCCCAGCTCCCCAGGGCAGAGCTGTCAAAATCTGAGGGGCTCTTAGGCTAGAGCTGGTGCAGGCGTTTGTCACGTGTGGAGGCCAAATAATAACAGCAGATTTCCCCCTCCCCTCTCCCTCTCCTTCCCAAGACCTATTTGAACTGCAGCTGTGTGACTGGCGCGTCCTCTTCAGCCAAGACAGGATCATGCCCCATCCCCTGTGCCCACTTCCTGCTCCCGGCCATCTTCCTCATCTCCTTCGTGGCCCTCATAGCCTGCATCTCCCACAACCCGCTCTACATGATGGTTCTGCGGTGAGTGCGCCTCTCCTTCCCCATGCTGCCTGCTTCTGCCTCTCCTTCCTTTCCCTCAGAGTCCTTTGAATGCCAATCTGCAATGCTCTTTGGATGATGCGGGACGGTGATACTAACACAACAATGCCGGGGGCCCTGCCGAGCCAGACTTGGTGCGGAGCCCCTCACTGTGCTGCCTCAGTCAGGGCACCCATGTGCCCTGCTGGCACCTCCACTCTGCACTGAGAGACCCCAGCCCTGGGAGGGCAGAGCCATGAAGAGTTAAGTCCTGATGAAGCCGGGCTGCCTGGTTCCATGCTGTGGAAATGCCTGTAGATTCAGTCATATTTAAATCCTGGAAGAACTGAGAAGAAGGAGGAGAATTGAGTTAGACGCACAAAATCAAGGAAGAAAAATGTGAAAAGTTTTTCCAGAGACAGAATGAAAGCTATGAGGAAGAATGAAAATAAGAAAAGCCCAGTGTGTGAGGAGCCAGGACCAAGTTCTCCAGTCAGAAGGGAGAAGCTGGCCAAGGTGGGAGGGGAGGACAGAGGTGTTCCATTACAGTGGCGGTGAAATGTCTCTGAAGTTTTAGCAGGGAACTGACCCTTCCTTCACCTCATCCTCTGCAAAAGGGAAAACAACATTTCAACCAAGTTCACCTAACCCACCCCTGCCCGCCTCTTTCCTGTCCTCACCCACCTTGAAAGAAGAAAGGGAAAAACACAGGATTTGGATGCCCATCGCTACGGTCAAAGACCCAGCTCTGCCATGCGTTGGCTGAATGCCAACCTCACCGAGTCTCAGTTTCCTCATTTATGAAAAGAGGTTAATGATAATTGACAGGAAAGGACTGGTGTTAGGATTACCTGGTAAATTGCCTTGTAAATATAAGGTATCCTACATATTAATTATCATTATTAACCAAACTCTAAGAATCATTAACAGGTAGCTAGGTGCCAATGACCTATTTTTCCCAAAAGGCTAGGAGATGAAGAACAGAAGCAGCCGCTTGTCAGGACCTGGGATTTTATCCTAATTATAAGTTAGCTTGCAAACTACCAAGCTCCTGTTTTTGTTACTGTTTCAAGAATGCTGGCAGAAGACAGGAGACTCCTGGTTCAAAGATAAAGGACTATTACTCACAGCACAGTAAGGAGCATGAACATCATTTATCCTTGTGTTCCACATCCCATGGGGTGACCTGGAGCACCCAGGTGTATGTTTCACATGCAGTGAGCTTATGACACAGTGAGGAACACTGAGCTTGAGAGAGTCACAGCTATATAGACCAAGACTGCTCTTAGTCTAGGGGAAGATTTTACCCCATGCCTCCAGGTTGCTCATTGTAACCACCATCCTGAGAAATGGCGCAGAAAAAGAGCAGTCAGAACCTTGTGTTCTTAGCATATTCCACAGGAACGTGTGGGGATGCTCAGAGCCAGAGCATTTTGCTTCTCCCAATACCATCAGTACCCTCTTTCTACCACTCCCCACCCTGTGCATTCCAAGCATGAGTACTTTCACCTGAGGCCTCTGGGTGGGGTTACCTCTTGCACCAGGACCAGATGGGCCGTGGAGGACCCTCTAACCCTGAGAAAGATCTGTGGGTGGCCAGGATGAGGAGAGGGAACAGGATAAGGAAATTTCACAGGGAAGTCCCTGAGCAGTCTGCCTCCCAGAAGACTCCAACAAGCCTTAGGGATAGGGAAGCTGTGCAGAAGGAGCATCATTTCAACCACAGGATGGGCTTTCCTAGGAAACCTCTCCCTTCTAAGTCTGGCAGGGGCTGAAGTGAAATTGAAGAGGCTCCAGGACCCCAAAATTGTTTAAAGATAAATCCCACTGGGAAAGATGGGAAAACAGATGCTATTTAGCATGGAGAAGGTGAAGCTTAAAGATGACTTTGTAGGTGACCCAACTGTTGTTTGTACCCTGACCCCCAACTAGGCATGGAAATACAGGCTGTGAGGGAAGCTTCACCAGAAATGTGGAAGGAGAGAGTGGGCAGAATGCCAGAGTTAATTCACCTCCAATGTCAGCAGACACCATAAGAGGCTCAAGTTGTCCATCAGAAGGCAAACTGGGGTGCCCAAGCCCCATTCAGTTCAGAATCTAGGGGAGTCTGCCCAGGGACAATGACCAAGACTTATGAATTGGGCCACTGGAGGGACCTATAGGCATAAAGGGAGCATCCATTAGATTGAGATTTGAGGCACTTTCCACTGGGGGGTCCCAAGTGGCTGTCTTTTTCCCCTGCTGCACCCCACGAGTACTGTTTTCACTGGGCCTTCCTTCAGAGGAACTGGAAGAGGGTCCCATTCCTCTCTGCTGGCAGGACTGTGGGGACAGAACAAAACGTGTGCAGGGACCTGGAGATTAGTTCTGACTTCCCTTCCTTGATGTCCCCTCGGCCCCGAATGCCCTTCCCCCACAGATACCCACCCAGAAGTGTGGATTTTCAGAGCACAGAGAAGCCTGATGCCTCTGCAGGCCACCTCCTGGCTCCCCACCTTGTGGATGGGGTGTCCTCCTTTTCTGCCCCACGCCCAGCTGGGATGGCAGGGCCTGGCAATACCACTGACAGATAGCTTCCCCATCTCTCTCTGAATCTCCTTCCTCAGCCAAACATTCATCCCCTCTTGAGGGAAGAAGGGTAGGGGTAAGACTGGCTACATAATCTGTAGGATCCAGTGCAGAATGAAAATGGGAGGCTCCTGGTTCCAAAATTATTGAGAATTTCAAGACGGCCGCAGCAGACCGTTAAACCAGACGTGGGGCCTTTCCGAGGGTGGGGGCCTGGGAGGCTGCACAGGCCACACGCCCAGGAAGCTGGCCCCAGGGAGAGGATTCTTTTCGTTGCACACAGAAGCCTACAGCCCAGGGGCCTTAATTAGACTTTCATCAGGGATGTCTTTATTGCTATTTACACTCCATGGGAGTTGTTCAGGCCTGCTGCTCTGAACACACCCTTCCCCATCCTTCTGTCCGTTCCCAGCCTTTTCTGCCCTCTGCCTCTTGGAGGGGACACTGGGCAACCCTGAAAGTCACAGGGACCAGTGGTTCTCAAATGCGAGTGTGCAACAGAACCTCGTGGAGGGCTTCCTAAAGCACAGATGTCCGGGCCCCGCTCCCAGAGGATCTGATTCTTAGGTCTGAGGTAGGGCCTGGGAATCTGCCTTTCTAACAAGTTCCTGAGGTGTGGGGAGGTGCTCATGCTGCTGGTCCAGCGATGATGCTTTGAGAACCACAGATATAAACAACAGGAGCACTTGGCTGAGGTGAATCCAGTCGGTCAGGTGGCTGTCAGGCCACTGGAGGGCAGGTTCTGGCATGCTCTGAGGTTGGCTGCCCCTGAGCGAAGGCACAGCCCTCAGTCCTCCGGCTTCTGACTTCCAATCTTCCTTTACAGTGTGGTGAACCAGGAAGAAAAGTCATTTGCCATTGGGGTACAGTTCTTGCTGATGCGCCTGCTGGGTAAGTGTCTGCGATGCCCCCTTCCTTCCTGGGGAGTGGCACCAGGCATCTGAGGGCTGTGAAGTGCAGGTTGGGGCTGCAGGAAGCCCTCTCTCATCTCTGCTGTGAAGAGAAGCTGTGCATAATCAAGCATCAGCAAAGGCCAAGACCCTATATGGACGGTTTCCCTGTTCCTTGAGGTTAGGAAAGATTCCATCTATGGCATTAATTCCAAACAAAACCATGTAAGAAAAATGAAAAGTGGACACAGCTGAGAATACCTAATAAAGAATTGAAGGCAGGTATTTTTTCATCTCTCTCCAAGAACTGGCTGTAGGAACAAAAACCCTGCATTCCTGTCCCAGAACAGCAGCTGAGCCCAGCCCTGGCTTCCCTCCCATTTTACAAAACTCCCTCCCTTGCCTCTATGCAGCAAATATTTCTCATTGAGGTGGGGTGGGGGGAAGCCTCTGTCGACAAGCCCTGCCCACGCTCCAGCAGCCCAGAGCCCACCCTCCATCAGAGGGATGGAGCTGTGAGCACAGGATCAGTAATGCTCCCCACCCCCCACCCGAGGGCAAGCTCCCTGGGGGCATGGTCTGGGGGAGGCTGGGGCATGTGTGGACCTCACCGCCCTTTCCCAGAGGCTCGTGCTGGATCCTCCCTTCTTGACACATTCAGGAATCAATGTGCAGACCCTTGCAGTGACAGGTAAACCAAGTAAAGGGACTAAATTCAACTGAGTATGAAGGACCCAGCGTGTGCACACTGCAGTGGGGAATATGGCAATTGCCCCAGAGGGACTTCAGTTGCTATGGGAGTGGACTTTCTGACCCTACATGCTGAAATCCCTGCAGGGCCCACCGTGCATTATTATCCAGGAGCCAGGCCTCGCTTGGCCCTCCATTATTGTTCTGGGGTGTGTTGGTGATGTGCCTGGTGGGGCCTGCTGAGCGAGAACCTTTGAGGAATGAACCAGCCTTTTCAATGGGATTTCTCAGGCTCGGGTCACTTGCTCCCCTCCTTCCAGCACGGTGCCTTCGGACCCTCCTCCTCAGGCCTGTATTACCAGCATGGAGGATGCAGGGCAGTGGGCTCTACCCTGTCCTGGTGGCAGAGGCACTGCCATCACCATACCTCCTTGCTGTCATTTAGCCTATCATACATGATTCATGTATAACTTGCTCCAAAATCTCTGCTGGGAAGGAAACCCTGCATTCTGCTCAACACAGCCAGCAGCTAGGACGGGCTCTGAGGACCTTCTCCTAGCCGCCTTGCAAACAGTCACGGTCCCACTGCTCAAAGCACCTGCTGCCTTTGTTTTCTCATTGGAGCTCAGACAACTCCATCTGGAACCACAGTTAGAAAATCCAGGCTGAAGGCATTTCCATTCATCACCCATGAACACAGCCCCACTCTGGGGTGGAAAGAAGGACATGGATAAAACCCAGCAAGTTTTAAATTACCCACTGAAATTTGGTTGAAAATTTCTCTGGATTTTGTTTCTATTTAGGGAAGCGTCCTTGGTGGACAATCCTTGTGGCCAGTTTCCATCCCCCGCTTAGCTGGAGACTTGGAAGTGAGCAGGGTCTGCGTAGAGAGGCTGGTTCTCAAAGGTTCCCATTATGGGTGGAGCCACAAGCAGATTTCCTCTTTCTTTCTTCCTGAAGCAGCTTCTCACAGGGCCCTAAAGACAGTCTGGAGACTGTTCTGAGGGCAGGGTTTGGGGTGTGAATCCCGGACAAGCCCCTCCCCAGTCCCGAGACTGCCTAGAACTGTAGCTAACAATACAGGAGTCATTCTGAATATTTAACACCAGGATGTCATAGCCTCTGCCTCACCGCTCAGCTGTGGGGAAGTTCAGGAGGCTGGGGTAGAGGCTCTGAGCAGCCAGAGTGTTGGGGGTCTTGTGGGGGTGCTGTCTCAGCCACAGAGGCAGCCTGTTGTGGTGAAAGATGGGACCAGAGGAAACCAGGGTTCAGAGCCCAGCCCTGACCCTCCCAGCTATGCAACGGTGAGCTAGCCATGCCCACCTTCCTCCTTCTTAAGACAAGGGTACCCACCCACCTGTGAGGACTTGAGGAGTCGATGCCCTCAGGAGGCTCCTGCCACAAGGTGGAGGTCAGCCTATCTCCACTTGGGACCAATCCAGAGTGAGAACTATGTGGTATGTCTGAGCTGGCATCACGGTGGCCTCTGTGACTCACTGCCCCAAAAGGATGGCTCAGGTCCCTTTTCTAAGCCTCTAGTGAAAGAGGAATCATGCTTTTGGGAAGCTATTCGGCTTTCCAAAGTCACTGTGGTTCCCAGAACTGGGGCAGAGATGGTCTCATTCAGGCAAACCACACAGGGGTGATGGGTGGGTGGGTGTGCTCTCCTGTCACCCGGTCGGGTGCCTCAGCCTGCACCTCCATGTGACTGGACTCTCTCAACTCTCTTCCCACCGACACCAGCCTGGCTGCCATCTCCAGCCCTCTACGGCCTCACCATCGACTACTCTTGCATCCGGTGGAGCTTGCAGTGCTCAAGGAGGCGCGGGGCCTGTGCCTACTACAACAATGATGCTCTCCGAGACAGGTGAGGGCCCGGCAGCCCGCCTTGGGGGGGCTGGAGAGGGGGTCAGGCCCCAGCCCAGAGCAGAGGGCAGCCATCTGCTGTGGCAGCTCTGGGGGGGGGGCGGGGAGGGGGCAGCCAGGCTTCTGAGGGAGGGGACTAGAGGGGCGCTGCCATGGAGAGGGACCAGGGGTCACTGGTGACAGAGAGCCATCCAGGTGATGGAGAGAGAGAGAGAGAGAGAGAGAGAGAGAGA